AAAAAAAAAAAAAAAAAAAAAAAGAAAGAAAGAAAAGACAAAACTCAGTAATTTTTTACCAAAAACATCTATACGCTCCTTTCATATCTTACAGCTTAATGAAGAGAATTTTTAAATCTGAAAGGATGCAGTTTCATCTTTAATTTTATAACAGCAATACAAGCTTCTCCATGAAAAAGCACTATCAAAGCCAGTGATGAATCTTGATCCAATTTCTTCTTTCTTTCTAACACTTTTCTACTTAAAACCTACCCTTCAACGTCAATCTGTCTAGAGCCAAAGAGTGTTAATCTTGACCATCGATTGAGTCAGCTCGCCAAGCATGCAAAATACTGATGAAAGAAATGAATTGAGAGTTCATTAACAATCTAGAAGGTTTGCTGAAAATTTGAACCAACCATTAAAGTGTTTCAGCTCTCAAGGGAAAACAACCAACAAGTTTCCAGTAAAAGAAGTCATGTTTAGCTAAGAAAAGAAGAAAAAAACTAAAAGATGGATTGTAGACATCTTCAACATTACAAAGTAAGGGCATACCAAAGAACGGTACCACCATTGTCACAAATTGAACATACAGTATCAAAGATGGATTTCAAAACAACTTCTTCTCCATCACTGTTGACAACATCATCTTCATCCTCACATACTATAAATCCAGTCTTCATCATTTTTTGAATACCCTGCTAGATTAAGGACAAACTCTCAGTGACTTTAGAAAATGACTTATTATGAAGAAATAATTGGAAGATTCAGCATAGAAGGAAAAAAGCACAAGTAATTGCACTAAATGTAAGCTAAAAATAATGTGTTAAAAACTGACCTCATGAGAAGGTTGACCTGTACTAGGCTTCTCCAAAAAAGTAACCACATACTGTAAAACAGAAAAATTGCCAATATAGTAAACCATCTATCAGATTGTGTGTATACTTATTTGTATATGACCATGCATTCACATAAGTATTTGTCTAGCATGCATGTTAGAACAGTCTGCAGTTTACTACTTGAAATTACTATAGCTTAATCTTTTGAATTTATTTACAAAGTGAATGTCAGTTCGGGATTAATATAGGCAGTAACTAAAAAGTTGCACCTTGGAATCACACATCTGGTCACCGCAACATTTTCATAAAATAACAAAGCAATATAAATAATCTCAATTTTTCATCAAAAATAGAAAAAAAAAAAAAATGTTTATCAAGATTAGAAGCAAGTAATATGTTAACTCTGTAGCTGCTTGCATTTGGTAATCTTAAAATGCCAGTTGTAATACAAACCATAGACTTCATTAAATCTTCATCCCTTTTCACAGTTTGATTGATTAACAGCATGTGTTGTAATAGGTCATTCTCACAAGGCTCAGTATCATAAAAGCTGCATCAGCATATCCATAAAATAAATATTAACAACAAAAAGATAACAGAACAAAAGAAAAGACACAGAACAGTTCAACAGAGCAACCTAAAGGCTTGTCGCAAGTGGTTCCACACAAATTGTCTGGATGCCTCAGGGTTCTTTTTTATAAGATGGAGCCAATGAATAGTGATTAAGATAGTCCTAACTGTATTTTCATAACTCTTCCTAGGCTTTTGGAGTGTTATCCATTTCCTGCCCTTGGAAAGCACCAAAACCACAGGCTTGACATACGATAGCTCCAACTTCCACGCATCAACAGACTTGTAAACTTTCTGAAGCCCATTTTCAGCATCCCCGAACACGAACACTTGTGTTTTAGGGCCGTCAAGGACCTCACCCTCAGTCCACAGAAGAGGCAAAATATCAAATGAAACTAGATTTTCCTTATCATCAACAAAATAGTAACCTGTGACATGCTCGGGCAAAATCTCACCCTCTTCATCTGATGATGCCATGATCAGGTTACCTGCACAAAACCCACAACTTTTTTCATTAAAAGAAACCATCTGCAATATTTTCAGTCTCCTGCTTTTGGCTCCCAAGAAAAGCATTTTTTCTATTTTTTTCTAGACTCACCAAATCCTATGCCTTAAAAAAAAAAGGGGAAAAAAAAACACGCTAGGCTACTTAGAACAACATTAAAAGCCTAAGAACTCTAAAACGAGTTGCTTTCATTCCTTTTTCCCTCACATTCTCAGCGACCAAACACTAAATATCGAGTAAAATCATCATCTAAAATCTAAAACAAAGTAAAGAAAGAAACGTACCGGTGTTGTCAATTTCAGCAGCCGGACGGGAAGTCAGAGCGAGGAGAAACAATGTAGGAAACGCTAATTTTGCAGGGGAAGCTGAAAACCTAGAATTTGTGCGGAGGAGAGGGGAAATGCCGGAAAAGCGTTCGTTGTGTGTGAGTGCAGAAGCAGCAGGAGGTTGCTTACACTGGCTGGCATACAGGCTACTAAAGTCTAAAGTAGGAAAAGAAAAACGGAAAAAAGGGCAAATGAGCCCCTGTACTCATTAATTGGTGGTAAATCAACCCCTCAACCAAAACCAGTGGCTTTTAAACCCTCAAACTCTTCAAACGGTGGCAAATCAGCCCTTCCTTGATGGATGATGTCAACAAATCGTGAAGATTGTAGCGGAAAACTTGACTTAGTGGGTTCATGGCTGACATGTCGATGGGGTGGGTAATTTTTCCCGCTGATACTATTAGGATAATTTTTTTTTTTTTTTTATAATTTTCACATATTATGTGAATATATTCAATGTTATAAATCTTATATGAATTAAAAAATTAATTATTTTAATAATATATTAAATTATTTAAAAAATAAAATAAAATAATTATTCCAATAGTATTTTTCATTTTTTTTCACTTGTACA